CCCAGCCCGACGTGCTGGTGGGGCTGGTGGGGGGGGGGAGCACGGGGTGCCAGGGTGCAGGGTGTTCAGCCTCGCTCCCCACCACCCTGCAGCTCTCACCCCCCGCATTTGGCCTCTTGGATGAGCCAACTTCCCAAGGGCGCAGGTGCAGCCTCCCTTGCTCCCCACCGCAGCCACGCTGTCCCTCTCAACGTGGGGCAGGAACAGCTGCTGGTGTGCAGATGGGGAAGGATGCAGGGGGGCTTGCTGGAAACCCTGGTCTAGAAAACACAGGAGGTCAGCCAGGAGGTCACGCTGAGATAGCATGAGAGGTCAGCCCATGTGGTTGGGATCACGCAAACCTGCTGCAGCGCATCCCGTGGGCTCTGGGAGATCATTCCCAATGCTGGGCTGCTTTTTATTCCCCGGGAGGCAGGCACTGGGTGGGTAGCAGGCACGGGACAGCACTCAGATGCATGCTCTCTACAAGGCATCACTCCATGCTGCTGCTTGTCAGACACAGCATGACATCCCTCCTCCTGGCTGGGAGCTGTCATGGGGGAGGCATGCTCTGAGTTACACCGGGAGGATCGATATCAGAGGATTTTTCTATTGATCCCGAGTTGAAATCCTGCTGCCTGCCCTCCTTACAGCTGCACACATCTTAATACAGTGTTTAATGGGTATGCTACACAAAATTGCTTTCTTGGTGCGCTCACCTCCTCAGGGGGACGCTGCGTGCTGGGTGCTGGTCACAGCTTCGAAGGGAGGGAAGGTATGAACCTCTCATTTGGGAAACCCAATGGCACTGTGGTAACAGGGATGGCAGCTCTTTGGTGGGACTCACATGAAGATTTATAGGTGGGCCTTGCTGGTGCATCCATTGTAGCTGTCTGTAGAGGTGACTAATTTCTGCCTAACGCTCTCATGGGCTTTACGTGTTGCCTTGTGTTTTGAAAAGCCCAAGTATGCCGGTGTGCGGATGGCCATATCCAAGGTGCACAAAGCACAGACCTTCCTGGGAGTCATACCCCGAAGCTCCACTCCCCACATCCAAATAGTGCTGATCGACGACGAGGCGGGAGCGCAGACTGGCACCGCTGCGGAGCAGATGGCTGCAGACATCATGGAGGATATAGCACAGCACGGTAACGTCGCTGTCCTCCTCAGCGGGTGCACCTAAAGCCACCGCTGTCCAGAGCTTCTTGTCCCCCACCAGCAGCCCACATGGCAGCCCTGTGTCCCTGCTCTTTCACCAGGGAATCACACAGAAATCAAGTGGCAGCTTGGTTGAAGCTCCCCGAGTTGAACACTCCTAAGGTCCTCGCCCTTGTCAGTCTGGTCCAGCACATCTCTAAGCCTTCCTAACATACACACTCTGCATTTCTAATGATGTCAGTAGTGAACTTTGCTTACCAAGAAGTTTAACTTTCCTTACCCAGAAGTTTTACCATTTTAATCGTAGTAGGACAGTGGTGTGGGCAGAGCAGAACTGCAGGATCAGAATTATCAGGGTTGTCAGGGACCTCTGGAGATCATCTTCTCCCCCCTCCCCTGAAAGCAAGTTGCCCAGAGCTATGTCCAGTTGGGTTTTGAATCTCTCCAAGGATGGAGACTCCACAACCTCTCTGGGCATCCTGTCCCTGTGTTTGACCACCTTTGCAGTAAAACAGATTTTTCTTATGTTGAAGTGGAATTTACTAGATTTCAATCTGTGCCCATTGCCTCTTGCCCTGTCACTGGGCTGAGAAGACCCTGGCTCAGCACTTCAGCTGTGTCTCACCAAGGCAGAGCAGAGGGGAAGGGTCACCTCCCTTCACCTGGTGGCAACCCTCCTTCTTATGCAACCCAGGATACCGTTGTCCCTCCATGCCATGTCTGGCTATAGTCAGCTTGGTGCCCACCAGGACCCCCAGGTCCCTCTCTGCAGAGCTGCTTTCCAGCCAGAATGCTACGTGTGGAGGCAGCCGTCTAAGCTGGCAGATGCTGATGAGCATGTAGGTCAGAGCCAGGGGACCTGGTGGTTGTTGTATGGGCCGCAGACCCACATAGGCTTGTTCCAATTGAGTCCACCCAGCTGTGTACCCCCGCCCTGTCCCCGGGGAAAGGTGATTAACCAGGCGAGCAGTGCCAGACCCAACTGCAGGCTCCCCCTGCCCTGTCTGTGAGTTGGGGTGGTGTGCAGGTGTGGGGGAGTGTTGTCCCATTCGGTCCTCACTCCTATTTCTTCCTGCCCTTTCCCAGGTGAAGCACTTGGCATTTCAAGTGGCAAAATGGAGGTGGCCACCGGCAGCACTTTCAGTGGGCAAGTGGGGAGCCACACATTGAGCAGGATCACAGCGGGGACGGTCTTGGGGCTACTCTTTGGTCTCCTGTTGCTTGGAGGGATCTTCTTTCTTTACAGAAACGGAAAACTAAGGTAGGGATGAGGCTTCTGCTGGCAGCATGTTGCCAGGCTTCTCCCGCCTGGGGGCAGCTATCATCCCAAGGCTGTCCTTCCAGCCAGCCAGGTGGCACGGAGGCATGCAGGGCTGCCCAGAGCTCCCATGGTGGTGGGCGTGGCCGGGTGGTCTGCTATACCCAACATTATTAGTTCATAGCATCACGGAATGGGTTGGGTTGGAAGGAACCTTTGTGGTGGATGGAGTTAAATCCAGTTGGCGGCCAGTCACAAGTGGTGTTTCCCAGGGCTCAGTTTTGGGGCCGGTCCTGTTCAATATCTTTATCAACGATCTGGATGAGGGGATTGAGTGCACCCTCAAGTGCACCTTGGTGATGACACCAAGTTGGGCGGGAGTGTTGATCTGCTCGAGGGTAGGAAGGCTCTGCAGAGGGACCTGGACAGGCTGGATTGATGGGCTGAGGCCAATTGTATGAGGTTCAACAAGGCCAAGTGCCGGGTCCTGCACTTTGGCCACAACAACCCCATGCAGCGCTACAGGCTTGGTGCAGCTTGATGCCATTTCCTCTCGTCCTATCGCTAGTTACTTGGCAGAAGAGACCAGCACCCACCTCGCTACAACCTCCTTTCAGGTAGTTGTAGAGCGCCTTTTGTGCATGGGGCTGTCTGCTGAGCCACTATGGCTTGTCTCACCTACTTGACCACGGGCAAACAGGATGGACCCTACGCTTTTTATAACCAGTGTGTGGGAATTGCTTTAATTTGTGTGTGCAAGGTGCACTGGTGTCTGCCAGGGCATGCCGGCCGTGTTGCAGGCTCATAAGTCAGGTTGTTTCTTCCCTCCTGGTTTTCCACTGGGGTTTTCTCACCGTGCAGCAGTAGCCGTGGCCGGGGATGTTTGCCCTGCCGCTCAGCACGTGCTGACATGACATTTCCTAGCAGTAAAGCCGCGCCTTCATTTAATTTCTAAATAAAACTCCCAGTCCCATAATTGCTACTTGATGATTTATCTTCCACTGACACTTCTTTGGACGCTGGACAGGCCTTTGAAACCGGCTCTGTCAGCAGCGGGAGGGAAGTTCATGTAGCTACAGGAGATGGAGCTGAACTCGAGCCCAGGCCACGTCCCCAGCCGACCCGCTCCTGCTGCGTGTCCCTGGGTGGCTCCAGGGCAGGTGGCCTTTCGGGCAGTGCTGCCGAGCATCGTGGAGGCATCTGACACCGGCAGGGGTGCTGCAAATTAGGCAGGCGGCTCTGGGAGCCTACAAACAGCCTGCCTCCATGCAGCAGAGCCATCCTGACCACTAGCAAACCAGTGAATTCAGCTTGTTTCCAGCAAAAAGAGCCTGGTACAGCCTCCCTGCAGATAACACAGCTCCTCCGATTGCCTATGTAGACCCGGGGCCACGGTGGTCACAGTGTTTAAGTATCAGTGGGCTCTCAGGACCGGCGGTGACGTGTGCGGACCCACTGCTGAGCCCGTGCGCAGCGGGTGCCTGGTGCGGGGGGTGATCCTCGGTGACTGGGACCCTTAGGATAGGAGCGATGAAGAAGATAATAAAAATGGTGATGGTAATTAAGATGATAAAATGATAACACAATAAAAGTAATGATAAAAGTAATTAGTGCTTGTTGAGATTGCAGTGGGAACAGGTGTCAGCTCTGTGGCAACTCATTTTAGGCCATGTGGGGAGAGCGATGGCTCCAAAGCAAAGCCTGTGCTGGGGTTGTCTGCCTCTGACAAACTCTTCCCTCCAGGATGCAGGTCCTAGGCCTCCAGGCTTAATGGTTTCTGCTGGGTAGGGCAGCTTTTCCCTGGGAAAGGGTGCAAACATCCCGTTTCAAAGACAGCCTGAAACTTTGCCCTGTATTTTTCCATCCATCTCTTGAAGATGCAGTGTTCCGGCTGGGGGGGGAGCTGCTGGGAAGGGCGGGATGCGGGTGGGTGATGCCCAGGTCTCTCCCCAGGCTGCCTGCCCTGCGCCTCCCCCGGCCTTGGGACAGAGCAGAGGACCCGGTGTCCCTTGTGCCAGCCAGTGACAAAGGCTTTGACAACCCCATGTTCGACATGGTGAGTCGCCACTGCCTGGGGACACGGGGATGCTTGGGGCTGTGGGCAGGAGGTGGCAGGGCCCCAGCCAGGACCCTCTTGAGTGCCAGTGGGGGTACAACGTGGGGTGCAACGGTCCCAGCAGGGCTCCTCCTTTCCCTAGGCCAGGAGGGGTTTGTGGGACGGTCCCATCCTCCCATGGGTCACCAGCTCCTCGGCTGCCGCAGGGACTCGGTGCTGGGTGGGTTTTGCCAAGGGTTTTGCTTCCCTTCTCATTGGTTGCTTTTCCATCCCTTGCTGCTGCAGGAGCCACCAAGCACTGATGCTGGAGAGGAGATGCCGCAGGAGATGGTTCCCAAAGACCATCAGGTCTTCTACCTCAATCCTCTGTATGATGCAAGCGAGATGGAGACCTGATGGTGTGGCCTCGTGCTGGGGCAGCCACCACCTCCCTGGGGACACTGCTGCCTCTCCAGCCCCTCACGTCGCTCCTGGTGGGATCTAAACCACAAGCAAGCAGATCCCATCCGAATAAAAGTGTCCTTATGGTGAAGGAAACCACAGCAAACCTTCGCCGTAAGGGCTCAGCCATGCAGGCACGGCCTCCCTGGTGTTGCTTCTGGGTTTTAAAGTGTATCTTGTAGGTATCAGTCCTTTTTAGATGGTTCAACATTGAGATTTGGGTCTCAGGTAACACCTGGGGAAGTCGGGGTCTAACTCAGCACCCTGCTCTTTAGCCAGCACCGTGCTGGATTTGCCCAGGGCATGCAGCAGGTTGAACGATGCATCCCTGGATGCATGATGGAAATTCAGTACTTAAATTAATTTTGAAATGTGGCCCAGAGCCTCCAGAGCTTGGACCCGTTAGTTGGGTTTAAAAGGAAATTATTTTGCTTTCCAGCAATGTGCTTGGTGCCGGGGGATCTCTGTGCGGGGTCCCCCGTTCCTTCTCTCTGGGACCTCGCTCTCGTCCCCTGGGTGCTGGCACAGGGCTCTGTCCTGAGCAAACATTTCCCTCCCCTTTCCCTCCACTGAGCCTGAGCTTGCTCCTTTCCCCTGTGCCCAGGCTGATGGTTATAAAACCCTCTTGGACCTCTCTGGGGATTTATCCTGTTATTCCCCACGGCGAGAGAGAGCACTTCTTCTCGTGGTGCAAGGGTTCCGTGCCGGTGCCAGGGGTCCCCGGGGAGGGAAGCAGGCAGGAGCCCGGCGGCTGGGGACAGTCGCTCTGGCCTGTTTCTAATGAGGGTCGGGGCAGCAGCGGCACTGAGGGGCCTCGTTAGCGGTGGTGTTTGTGGCCTGGCATGTGCCAAATACCCTCAGCTGTCCACAATGTCAGGCAGTGCTTCATTACAGGAGCAGGTCTGATGGGTGAGGCTGACATTATGATGTATGCAAATTTACGCAAATTTACACTCTACTGGGTTTTCAGTAGGGCTTGTTGGCATATTCCATAAGGAAGCAGCTATTTTAAGTTTATTATATTTTGTTCTAGTCTCTGGAAGACATAATCCCTTCTCAAAGGCCTGGGAATTCATCATTAGGCACATCAGAGCCCTGACGAAGGGAGACGGGCAGCGTGCGCTGATGAGACCGGCCCTGCTGCCTCCCTGCCGGCAGAGAGACCTCCGGTAAAGGGCAGTGCAAGCAGGCAGGACACAAAACACGAGCCAGGCAGGGCACAAGGCCATCTCCAGGCCCTGGTTGTTGCCATTGCTTCGCGGGCCTGGGCAGAGCCGGGGCTGAGAGGAGGTCTGCGCTCAGGGGCACAGGGTGGGGATTTCACCAGGCACTCCTCTCCTGAGAGTGCTCCTCCGGGGCACTGGGAGGAAAAGCAACTGGCCTGGGGAAGGAGCTTCTGCTGCGGCTGTCAGGCACTTGGTGCTGAATGAAACAGTCACCAGCTGGGTCAAAATGCAGAGGAAGCCATCGGCTGCTGCAGGTGGTGGCTGACACCGGCAGGTTAGGAAAACCCCAGTCCCACCATCCTGTGGTCCTGCAACAAGTGCATCTCCATGGAGAGCAGTGACCCAGGACACGTCCCCAAAACTTGCCCCAGAGCACACAGTCACCCCCATGATGTGAACCCAAGGGAGACCCCCCCACACCCCAAGCCCTCATCTGGACTTCACGAGGCCAGACAATGCCTTGCGGCCGGGGGGCCGGTGCGGACATGGTGCAGCATGGTCAGCCTGTGCATTGCTTGCCGGCAAGGTGCTGGTGCCGCGGTGTTACCATGGTGCCTGCGAGAGCAGCCACAGCATCCGCCGGCTGGGTCTCTCTGCAGAGGGGGGTATTCGTATCCATATGGGTGTTTTACTTGCTGCCTGTGAGAGCCTTTTTGTGCTCTTTTCCCCTTTCAAATCAGTTCATTGCAAGTGACTGAAGCTCCTCTAGCTTACAAGCCTTTCAATACACATGATGTATTTTTCCCCGGCTGAGGCTGATGCAGTGCTGCATGCTGGAGGCCGTTGCACCAGGCAGCCCATCACCCCAGCTCTGCCCCGCACAAGGAGAGGGCTCGGGGGCATCCCCCAAGGAGCCCCTTGCTACTGGCCCCAGAGTGAAACGCTTCCCTCCCCCTGCTGTTTTGGGCCCCTCACTCCAGCATCACAAGGGGTCTCGGTGGTTGCATCCCTGTGCGCTGAAGGCGAGAGGCAAGAGGAGCCCATGGCTGCATGCTGGGGGAGGGAAAAGACAACCCGGTGGCAACAGGGACCATCACACAAGATGGTGGCAGGATGGTATTTGAGGACATCAGCTCTGCGTCCCGCCTGAGCACACGGGGATTTCAGCGTGAGCCGTGGGCAGGCGTGTGCCCATGAAGTGAGATGGCCTCTGGGGACGTGCAGCTGACTGCCACAGCCGGCAGGGAGGCAGGCAGGCTGCCCTGCAGCACGGATCACCGCCTGGTAACACCTCCGTATTGGGGTGTATGGATTTGCTGCTGGCGAGGCTTCATTTTTAAAATGCATTAGCAGCTCGAGGTCACTTACAATAGAGGCTTTAATTAAAGTAGAGATCAATTTTTGTCAGCGTGCTAGCAGAGCACATTCTGTACTTTTCCTTCAGGAGCCACGTTCGCTCGCTCATACAGAAAGCGTCACAGGGAGGGGGGAGCTCTGCAGAAAAAACCTGAAGCACCAGAGCCAGTTTGCGATGCCGGGGGCCAACAGCTGCTGGAAAACCGCTGTATCCATGATCACTACCCTGCGCTCGCAGACAGCCCACAGTGCAGGCAGGGTAACACAATGGGTTTTGGTACCTAAGGGTCTCTCCTGGGATCCTGCCTAAACAAGGAATTTAATTCGCAGACATCTTTGGTAAGCAGTGCATTAGATGGGTGGTTTATGTCGATGAGGCTGTGCGCGGCACGGCTGGGCACCTGATGGCTTTGTTTTGCTCTTGGTCCTGAAAGTCAAGGGTCCCCTGCTGTGACAGACTAATGCAAAATGCATTAGTGTTAACGGCAAGATCTCAGGAGTCATTGCTTCCCGGGGTCTTAAAAGAAAAAGCAACCTGCACACTATTAATGGACACCAACTCGTATCATTGTGCTTTCCCTCCACCCGTTACAGTCATTCACAGAAGTTGTGCAAATCCTGATTCAGACAGTGCAGCAGGCAGCAGTGCTCAAAATGCCACCGAGTCTGCAAACAGACTTTGCCTGCCCAATGCATTTTTTTTAATTTTTTTTTTTAGCAGGAGGTAGCAGCAGCAAAAGGGAGGGGATTTGGCAGGGGCTGGCACCACTGGAGTGCGGGAGCTGGCCAAGGCGCTGTGGGGTGGCAGCAGAGCTGTGGCCGTTCCTCCATCAGCACGCAGGGCTCCGCACTGCTCTTCCGCATGGGACGGCAGAACAGGGACTGTGTAAGAAACTGGAAAGCAGACGATGCTGCAAAAAATCTGAGGGTTTTATCTACGAGAAAACAAGCGATAAAGCTGCATAAACCTGTGTAGTCAGGTGACAAAAAAGTGCTGCATCTTATTGGGGAGCAGGGAAAATATTTGCTGCAAGGATGGGGAGCTGGCTGATTCCTGAGTTCATGTTCCTCCTCTGGCTGGAGTGCAGCATTGCAGCTCTCGCTTGCTGAGCACGTCCTGCTGTCTTCTGCTCCTGTCCTCAGCTAACCCCGCTGGCAACACTAGTCTGAGCATCATTCACCACTGGGACATGCTCTGCCAACGTTTGGCTTTCCCTGGCGTTCCGCAACAGGCGTGCAGCTGATGTCCGGTGTCGTCATCACCCCACGTCCCCAGAAACACATTTAGGAGGGCCTTGCAAGGGAGCACCAAGATCGTGCTGGCTCTTTTTGGAAAGAGCACCACTGTGCCTTCCCTCCTGCCTCCCTGATGCGGTACCTGTGCCTGTGGCACCCCTTCCCCTGAACCAGAGCCCCTCTGACCCCACGCTGCTGCGCCGCCCTGCCAGCAGTGAGCCCGAGGCCACGGGGCAGCAGCTCTCGACCTGTAGGAAAGTGGCTGCTCTGCGCTGGGCGAGGGTGGCAGCAGCTGCAGCTCTTGCCCCACGAACTGCGAGGAGACCAGGGCTGCCGAGGAGGGATGTAAGGGGAAATTGAGAGGGAAGCCACATTTACAGGGGTAAGCAGAAAGGAGAAGGCAGTCCAGACCTGCTGCCACCGCAATGGAAGGCGAGGGCTGGGCAGGTGAATGCTACTTTCTGGTACGTGCTCCTCATTCCTGCCTGCTGGAGCCACTTGGTACAAGGTGGGCAGGGTTGCAAACCAGAACATGAGATGCTCCAGTAGCCCAGCATGCAAGAATGCCACCTCTCTTTTTTTTCCTTTTAAAATAGGCTAACTCAGCAGCAAGACAAGGTTTGTAGTCATGATGTGACACCTTCCTTCGACTGTTACTTCGCTTAACTGCACCTAAGGGTGCTGTTCAGGTCCCAGTCATCTCTTCCCTCAAACACTTCCCTGCTTCTCAGTGCTTTAGACTACCACTGCCAGCCCTTAAGATTTTTATGCATCTGCTTTCTCCCAGGGATGCCTGATCTGGCGTTGTGCAGAACAACGAGGGTGCCTGGACCTTCAGCATTTCCACGCTGAAGTCCCCTCCCTGGGCATTAGCTGTGTTAAGCACTGACTCTGCAAACATAAAGCGAGTGTTTACGCATCCCCCCCAGCTGATTGCACCCATTTAGGAAGCTGTTTGTTCTCAGCACATCTGTGCTATAGACAGAGGTGTTGGCAGATGGGTTTCGTTTTTGCGTAGCAAGTGACACCAGGATGTATTCCAAAATACACAGCCTTTCAGGGCAAAGATCTGTGCTAGAAGTGACCAACATGTTCTGGTGAGTGGTATGCCCATCGCCCTGGCTTTGGGACCCAATGTAACACCTCTGTGCAAACGGAACAGGCAGAGGAACAGGCAGACCAAATTATCCTCGTTCCTTGCCTAACTCCATTCCTCACTTGCGCTACTAGACTGGTAGCCTCCAGGGAGAAGAAAGTGCACCATCAGAGGAACATTTCACATTAAGTCCTGAACTTCTGCATTTCTGAAATTTCTCCTGAGGGCTGAGGAGGACTCTTTAGGTAACCAGCATCAGAAGCCTTAAGGGAATAGAAGATTTGCAAGGGGCTGTGGTGGAGGACTTGAGGAAGAATTCTGCTCGGCCAGACTTGAGGGGAAAAAAAAAGAAAAGAATAATGTATTCATACTGAGCAATTAATTTATTTTTCTAGAAACGTTCTCCTGCTTAAATTATAACCAAGCCCTGGCACTGCTGAGTGCTATGATTTAATACCCCCATAATTAAAGACTTTGTTGTCATCCGAAGTCCTCACCGTGCAGAGAAAAATCAGCTCAAGAGCAGCAGAAATGTTTTTTTAAAAGTCAAAGGCTGATTAGCATGAACACTTGTGAGAAGGCTTCCGGCACACAGCCCTCAAACCTCCTGCCAGCTATCACCCCCATCCCCAGGGCAGAGTGCGGGTGCGCATTCCCAAGCCGACCCGCCCCAGCCTGCTGGCCTTGCCCAGGTAGGTTTGGTCAAGCAAGGAACAGCAGGGTCCAAAATGTTAATCTAGGCCTTCCCCATTAAGATAACCTGGAGTAAGATGGGCAAGACAAATCAAGTAACCCAGGAGCACCCGGGCACTCCGCAAGGGATGAGGGATGCTGACCCAGGACACGCTGGGGAAGATATTGGCGCTGTTCTAGCTACAGTGAGCTCTGCGGTGCTCAAATACTGGAGCATGAGGGGAGCTTTAAAAAAAAAACCAACCAACTATATTAGGGGCTGCACCATTCACACACCAATCCTTGAAATGTTCCTAAGTGTTTCTTTGGGACCACTGCTTTGACAAGTAAGTGTCTTTATTGTTTTATCACACTTAAGATGCCTGAATAGATCCTGCAGCCTCCTTACTATGCTTCGGCCACAAGGAAACAGTCATATAAATAATTTAAAAATTACTTACTAGGGTCAGTGACTCAATGAAATGACAACTCTAACACAAACCAAGGGCACAAAATTTCACCCTATATTCCACCAGAAGGACTTCCATTGCTCCTGAACATGCATTTACGTGCAGAAACACACACCTTTCTCGCAGCATTCAGGTACGGAGCTTCAAAGTATCTTTCAGTTTATGTAAAATGTCCATGTGAACAAAGTGAATTTACCATGAAACTAAAGCAAGTGTCAGTGGTAGACTGTTTTCACACGTCAAGACAGACGACTATGAACTTTAAAACCTCCCTCTTCTGCTTTATTGACAGGTAAATTGTTCAAAAATGTTCTCACAATTCAATAATTACAAAGACTTAGACTTACATTAAAAAAGTAAAAACCAGAAAACCCCCAAAGCAGTAGTGTCCAGCTCTAACTGAGCCCCTTTATCAAGAATCTGAGAAAAAGAGCAAGTACTGTCGAACACTTAACGTAACAGGATTAAATGTTGACTAGAACACTCAGTTTAAACTAAAGATAAGTGCACGTCCTATACAGTGTTTCAGAAAAGAACATTAGCCATTGGTATATCATTAGCCCATTTAAACCAAATTTTAAATAAGTGACATCCAACTGTCATAAAATTGGCACAGAAGGCACACTAGTGTGACAATGACAAACTGGATATGCCAGCCACTGAATTAATTACAAGCTTTTAATGAAACATGGTCACAAATCTTTGATTACTAAATGTATAATACATGGAAGCATGAGATTAAATATACACGCAAAACATCACCACTGCACGTGGGCCATAGCAAAATATACAGGAGTGTGTTGTGCATTTTTCTACATGATCAATACTTGATTAATAATCATGGAGTCTTCATGCAGGTGAGGATACAATTAATGAGAAAAGCAGCACCCCCAGTTACACATCCTTCACGTTCCACTTTGGTAACCAATAAAACAGACTGATGTTTTAGTGCGATATAGTCCCTTAGATCAAGCAGACTTCCGAGGGCAATGCGTCCACGAGAAGGCTTGCTAGCTAAACAATGTAGTGTGTCCTTATACCAAAAAACCCAGGAGAAACAACTTCTCAGAAGGAGATAGGCAGGAACTAGGAGTAAAATTTTTTTCACAGCAGTAATTACCAGTATTTTAAAAGCCCTGACTAATGACTGATTGATGAGGACTAAAAAGCAGGGTATGGGTAAAAGATAACTGGCAGCAGTCCTATGTACAAGACTAAAAAGTTGGTAGAAAGATAGAAAGACAGTTATGCAGCTGTATATGTAATGGCTAAATGAATTAAAAGGCCACAAAACTACAACCAACTTTTATTTGACTTCCTGGTGATTCTATTGGTGTTGGAAACGACCTACAGTTTCCTAGCATTCTCCTTAAGATTTAGGGAACAAACAGTTATGGGAAAAAGGGAAAAGTGTATTCATTTGAGGATGTAACTAGACCTGCTCGCATTTCCTATTTAGAGGTCCAAATTGTGTCTAAAAGGATTTCCTGCTAATGAGACATTACATCATTCTATAGAAAAATAATATTCCCGATACTGTAGCAACATTATCAGTATCTCTCTCTATTTCTTTCTCAGCATAAGAATAAGACTATTTACTGGTGGTCTTAAATGCTCCTATGCAATAAAACTGTGTCACAGCTGTGCAGAAAGGAATCAACCGTAACTGAGCAGTGAACAATTCTGCATAAAAAGCTCGATCGCTATTTAGTAAAGAATTTTCTTCATTTCAATAGTTTGTATCTACAATCTGGATATATAATTATTCTTGTACAACACTAGAGATTCAGTGTCAGTCTTGGCACTAGCATCTGAGACAGCTTTGCCCTGCTCTTGAATACTCCACGGAGTGGTGGATGACCAAAGCCAGAATGGTGAGAGCGGTAGCGTTATGCGTCACAGGTTGACTGGTCCAGTCCATCTAGCGTAAGCTGATTCCTATGAGGAGAGTTGGGACTTGGGGGACCGCTTGGATTTGAGCTGTTCGATGGAGTAGAGTGTTTGGTGGAGTCTGAATCAGGCTGTTAATGAGAAACGTTTAAAAAAAAAATTATGCTTAAAATCAATTCTTTACACTCAAAAGCTTTCAAAGGCACTCAAAAATTAGGGTGAGCAACACCTACGAAGCAGTGTGTATTAGATTCATTTCATAGCTAAACATTCATGCAAATGCTTCCATTATCGTCAATAGGCTGTAGTGCAGTCCTGAGGGTGACCTTCTCATGTAACAGGAACTATGGCAAAGTACGTGGAAATTGGTAAATCCCAGGCTCCTCTCCTTTAGCCACAGCAAAGCTTTCCTGATGGAACACATCTATCTGTCCACCGTTGTTCTGGATTTACCAGCCTGCATTTTTTAAGCAATTTTTATAGCCCAGGAGTAGATTTATCTGCCCATATAAACATGTAAACAATTACGGTCAAATCATCTTCAGTTTGGTGAGAAGGAAGGAAACAAGCATATGAGTTATTTACAAAACAGCAACAGTGACAAGCATGTGAAGGGCCTGACAAAAGAGTGAAGGTTGCCAAGTATCAGGCTGGAGATCTGGAAATGGAATATACTTACTGGAGATGCCCTACATCAGTATCTAATAAAGACAGTCTATCCACAGTTATTCCCCCAGCGTTAGATTGGTTGTTGGATATTTGCCTTCACAAACTGGTTTCACTTCAACAGGATGGCTGGCAAGTTTCCCACTATTTTGGTGAGTTACAACTCTGAGCACTGCACACATTCACAGCTAATGAAATACTGCACAGGAAAAACTGGTACCATTGCAGCAAGTTATTTTCAAGAAAGGGTATATATATTTAGCAAATGGACTGAAAGGTAACATCCTTCGAGAATGCTGTTCGCAAGGTTTTGCATGGCTCAAACAATAATAAGATCACCTATAACAAGATTATCCTAACATGATCCAGTTCATGCTGCGATAAAGCCAAGAGCTATGGGAAAAATAGTATAAAGCCAAAAGGGGATACCTAGAGCCTCCTTTTCCAAGTTTCAAGCTACTATTTTTTTTAATTTAAGAAGTCGTAAGAAATTGTAAGATCTACCGAAAAAGGAAACGTTGTAAAAACCTATGAATCTACCACTACTTGTGCCTACAAGCAGCAATTATCATTAGAGCATAGAACATAATGAAATTTGGGAAGGATGCTGCAGAATAACTAAGTCAACTGACATTGTCCGTCACCAGCACTTTTGAAAATCAAGACAGTTTCAAAAATACCTGTGGTTAGAGATCCCCATTTTCACATGCTTTTAATGGCTTACTCAAGGTGACAGAGTCAGAGCATGGCTGTGACGAGAACTCTGGACAAATGCTTTGACTTAGGGTGTACTAAGGCATCCTGCAAAGGTCTGGCTTCAGGAAAACACCCTTCAAAATCCAGAACATTACATGGACTTGTAGTTGGGTATCAAAAAGCACTACAAAGATGCAAAGATCTTGATCTAGGAGTTTGCCTCTCAACGATAATTTCCCTTGCACAGGCAGTGCTTGAGCAAAGCTTGGAAGAGGCTACACCCATGATAAATCAAGGAAACAAAAATCATACATCTTCTCTCCTTAGATTCAGGGACACCAGTTTTGTACAGCCAGGACATTTTCAGTTTGGTGACTACTGGCACATACTTTTACTCTTGATAAAAGCAGTTTTACGTATTTTAAAATACGATTCCTTTTCAAGTTATATGACAAAAAGTCTTCCTTAAGGCAGCACAGAAAATTACTTAACTAGTCGTATTACTTTGCTATTCTATGCTAATAGCCCAGAGAACATTTTTAGGAGCTTTGAGGACATTTCACCAATTAGTCAAATTCCCTTGTCCACAAAGCTTAATCCAAGACATAATACTCCTTAAAATATCACCATAAAAAGATCTTTTCACAGCTTTGCTTTTGTGCTGGCGTATCTAACTTGCAATCATGTATTACAGGCTGAAGAAAACATTTGTGGAAGGAAAACATCTCCATAAAGAACACGGTCTTTATGAAGTATTTCCTCAGAAATTTAATTTATTGGAAGAAGAAAACAATCTACGGCAACAGGATATTGTCAGTCTCCATTTAATTAAGCTACTTTACCTCTTTGTCAAACTCCTGGTCAGGATCGGACACACTTCGGGAAGGCATGGCTCCTCCCACATCACTGCCACCTGTAGAGAAAGAAGCAAAAAAGGCAGGTTTACACCTCTTGTTGAAGCCATAAATTACAGCTCGGAACTGACAAGCTTGCTTCCAGCCTTACTTGACGAGGGCCATGAAATATAGGTTTTATTTCTCTGCTGCTGCTGCTGCTGCTGCTGCCGTGAGAGGTTAGCTGTAGATGGACATGGTTTTTCATCCTGTGCAGCAGGTAGGACACTCTACAGTTGAAATGAAAGACCTTGTTAGCCAGCAACAAAAGCTATCCAGCTAGGAGTTGTTACTCATGAAAACTTTACTGTGCTTTTGAAGCTATTACAACCCAGTGTTGGTAGAAAAACTCTGAACTTACTTGACCACATCCACATATTTTCAGTAACAGACACAAACCCTGAGAAAGACAGAGAAAGAACTAAGCCCCATAGCAGCCACTGGAACCTGTCAGCCAGCAAACCCTCTATGAAGGGGCAGGGACTGCACCAACAGCTCTGCTTTCCTTCCTACTCCTGCTTAAAGGACAAATGCATTACCCTCATCTGGGCTAGCTGAGAAGGCAAGAGAAAGCCTAACTAGCAGCTATAAAATGGAAGGTACAGAACATAAAAGCACCTTCCTCTCTTGGATTTAACACTAAAATAGCTCACAAAATGCTATTTGTTAAATGCAAAAATAGAAAATAGAAAAAAATAATGCTATAAAGCATAGCAACTTACATGCATTTTAGTTACCTCCACAGCATTAGTTTTTTCCCCCTTGTTTTTGCTCTAGAATTGGGGAAGTGCCACAAGCACACCATTCCAGTTCCTAACAGTTTGTAGCTAGTCCTACCCTCGGCTAGGGAAGCAGAGGAGGGACAGGAAGAGGAAGAAAGCAGAGGGGAGCCTTGCAGTGAGGAATGGTCACTCTGGAGAAAAGATTTCAGCAGAGACAGGGCTCGTGATAGATGTGCTTAAAGCCTGTTGGAGGTGATATCAGAGCAGAATGTTGAGAGGATGAGGGGGAAGGAAATTAATTCTGTTATTTTAAGAAGACAAACAAGAAAAAGGAAGGAGGAGAGACTGATTATTTACAAAACCGCTAACAAGCTCCTGGCAGCGATACCTACTTTTTTCAGTGTCTCATGCGTAAGTCAGCTAACAGTATTTCCTTGCACAGGATTTAGATGTATTGCACATCAGGAAGGTTCACCTTTCTCAAAACGATTAGAAGAATAATTTGGTACAAAGATAATACTTGAACCCTGTATAGCTCATCTTCACAGTTTTTCTGAGGAAGAACAAATGCCCATATATCTCCCTCCCTTTTAAATGTATTTTACCAGTGGGAGGTCCATGAGAACCTGCATTCCATCTCCTGGTCCCATATGAGCCACATGGTTGAAATTCGTTGGGTTAGAAATCATCTTTGACCTTAGCTCAGGGTCTCTAAGCATTTCCCTAAAAGAACAGAGCAATTTTTGCTATTAGCATTCCCAGTCTCTGCATGTCATCATGTTTATTAAGGTACATATCAGATTAAATTATTACCGCCTTTGTTGTAATCGCTCTTCCTCGGGAACCTTAAACACAAATCTTCTTTTGCTCCTAGTTCGAAGCATTTGCTTCTTGCTATTGTCAGATGTTTCTGGTACACTGAGGACAGCTCCTGCTGTAATATCACAATGCAATTTCACATACATAGATACATGCACGCATCCAATACAAGTTTCATCTCATGCAAAGGTAACACTGCTTAAAATCACCCACTTAGCTTTGTATGATTTTCCCATATCTCCCCTTGCTCAGTACTCACCTGCAAACTTGTTCTTGAAATATATTAGTCTTGGTGGCTCACAGTTAAGGAGATTCAGCGTGCCACCCATGTTTAATGGTCTGATCTGTTTTGAAGAAGGAGGCAAAGAATTAACCCAAGCCTAGCATACCCTGCGAAGAAACATCTCATTTGGAATTAACCCAGTTAAGTTCTATATTCAAAGAAAATTACTTACCCTTCGCAGGCCAATAGTCTGGACCCATTCCATAGTGTTAACATCAAATACATCAACACCATACTCGCTATACACTGTTACATACGAAGAATTGCAACCTGCATAGATTAAAAACAAACAGAAAACCCTAATATGGTTTCAGTAGTCCAGAACTGACATGTATTTGAGCAAATTTCAATAGTTACAAGTTTTCCACCAGGTGCAAGATACATTTTAAAACACTTTTTCCCAGCACCACTTTCAAACAGATATTTTTGTGATAATAGATTTGCTAACGACAACTGCCAGCATCATGGAAAGATTTAAATTTGACCCTTTCAGTATTTTTAAACTTCAAATTATGATTTCATGAAATTGCAAAATGGCATATGAAGTTTTCAGATGCATACAAATTTGCTACTTGGTAGGAACTAAGCAGCTAGCTTTTCTACAGATGCAGATTACTTCATTTCGGAAGCAGCAAACTAACTGCTGTGTGCAGGGGAAAAGAGAGGGCCACCATCTGTGAGGTGGGTCATGAAGTCATGATGCGGATCTGTTCTCAATTTCCTTCCCCTTTTGCTAACAATTATCTAGCTTTAGATATTCATGTATGGGTTGCTTTCATCAGGTTAACAAAAGGAAAATAACGCAGTAGGACACTAAACACATCACAGAATCTTCTTAGAAGAACTGAAGTAACGGTTGTGGTGCTATTTTTTAAACTTGTTCACAGAAAGCCTTGGACAGCTATCATAAATATGTATCCTAGAAGTGATTTATAGTCAAGTATTTATTATATAGGGTCACGGTTGACTTGGATGTTCAAATCAAGGGAGACCACTGAGCATCAGACAGAAGCACCAACTGCTTCTGCCTGGCCAGCTGGTAGCCAAGGCCAGCACTTACCAGTCAGAGCTGATGAGCTTGATCAGGTATCAACTGGTTCCCAGAGGGACACATCAGTGTCTGCACTGGGCTTGCCCACGCTACAGCTTTGAGACCCGCTGGCTCCAAGCCTTTGCACTGTGCCGTACTCAAGCTAAGCAGCCCCACAACGCCTACGCTGACTCAGCACAAAACCAGCGCATGAAGCTGGTTTAACCGCAACCTAGACAGGCCACCCGAGATAACAGAGCTGGCTGTGTTAGCGCAAACCTCGGCCTCTCCTAACATGAGGGGACTGAATGCCCTAGAGACAAGTTCTCCATTGTAACCTAAAACCTCTCTACAACATGGTCCTTTACCGCAAAAGAAACTGAACAGCCGGAGAACTATTTCCACTTTGATGATGTCCTGACGGGACAGTTAAAAGAAGCCACTATCACCAGTGACAGACACCGGGACTGAGGAGGGAGGACAAGGCTAATGGAAAGGAAAGTAATCCAGTTTCCTTTGGCAGCGGACAAAGTTGCTCTTTCTACAAAAACAGCCCTAGGCCAACGCCACTCAGGATTGCACATACAAGAATGCTATAAAATAGTTTACAGTAAGAACAGCTTCTAATACTAACAGACAAAACAATTAAGTAGCACGTCTAGTTTGCTGAAATGCAAAAACCTGTAAAGCTGATAAAGGAAAAGGAAACATTAGCTTTGGCTAATGGCATTTTAAAGTAAATTTGCAACGACATCGTTTCCTTGGGCCTTTGCTTCAGACTTCTGTACAGAACTAGGTCAGAGTAAAGCAAGCAAACAATTTCAGTTCAAGACAATTAAAATTAAACAAACTGCTATTAGGGCCTGGCCTGATCAAACCAATGAGCACCTAACTGCTCGGTGTACTATTTAAACAAAAAGCTATTTCTTGCTTTCAATCATTCAAAACACTTTAATTGCTATTTGAGCTCCAAATAGACATCCCGGTTTTATCATGAACTGCCCCTGACTACTGAATACTGAAAAATGCTCCGCATGTCCTTCTATCCTAAGTAGCTGATAAACCAATGTGCTTGAAAAGAGTAGAGCTGTTGAAAAATTACCTTCCACCTGCCTATATTATTTTTGGAAATTCTGCCCCTAAAAATAAAACCAACAGGAGAAAAACTGCAACCAGTTCTGCCAAAAGCAATTGTTTTTACCTCTGACTTTGTTATCTTTATGAACCCTTAGAGTCGTAGTTACATTTCGTCTTCAACTTTCTATTGTACAGGACACAGAAGACATCCTACAGACAACTAGACATATACACTCTGTAGGGGAGCAAAAGTCTTTTCAGAATTTCACAGACCGGTAGTCTTGGACTGTCCTGCATCCAGGACTACTCTCCGCTCCGCAAAAGTTAATTTGCATTCCATTATTTGTTCCTCTGTGTCCTGTAATAAGACAGGGCTTCTTTTCTTGTAGCGTCCAGGATCTCAGCCCAGGAGATCGCCAAGTCCAAAACTACCATCAGGAAGAATTGTGTATCCTGTTAACTCATCAAAACTTAAACTGTAGATATTGAAAGACAAACCAAAGCAAAATAGAATACAATGCTGATTATTTTTAGACAAGTAAAGCAGCAACAGGGATATGGCAACAGAAAAACATATACATACTACAGGCAACAGGAGTTGCAGGCCACATTAGTTCCTGCATGCGTGACCTTCGACCTTGCGAATCGACGTATACTCCCATATGGCTGAAGCAAAGCAGGTATTCCTCATTACTGAGCTCCACAGCACAAAGGGCATCAAAAGACTGCTGTGAGAGGAAGATAAGCGAGGGGTCATTAGGATTTACCAGGTTTATAGATTGTCCATCTCCCTGGATGGTCAACAGAGAGAACCCAGACTGGTAGCCAACACAGAGCTTGTCCTTGAAAACTGTCATCCACTGTACAGTTCCTGGAGCCTGGATTTCACTGAATTTTTTGTGGAAAGGTTTAGTTCTGTGAATTTCATAGCAAAAAACCTGTCGTTTGACAGCCACAAACAAACAAGTCGAAGAACTCTTCTTTAGTGTTCCAGTTGTAATCAATTGGCAGCCTTTAGTTTCTGCAAGCTTAATGTCAAAGTTTCCTTCTGACCCATCCAGAGAAGCCCAGGGGTAAAGGTGAACATGATGGTTCCGACCACAGATGAGGATGATAATTTTCTCTTTGGGAGCAAGCTCTATCTGGTACACCTTCTTGCAGTCAGCAGCTCGGACTATCACTGCAAAGGAAACAAGAGCTGCCGTAAGTTAAACAAGAAAACCATCGGGCCTGGAAACATTGCAGTGTTACATACTGATGTCTGAAAATGAATCTAAACACAGACATGTACCAGATAAGAAAGAGCACTTACTGCACACATTCAATGTTCCATTATTAATTCTCAGAACAAACAATGAAACAAAGTATTCCTGTAACTCTCTCTGGATATAAAGTCTCACTTCAGCAACACTTTGCAGGGAAAGGCTACTTAACCTCTGGGATAAATGGAGAAAAAAAACTTTATATAATCCTATCTGTACTATCTATACACTACAAGATGGTGTATCTTCTGAAACTGGTCCCACCTTCAGGAAAAACATCAGCATCTTCAGTAAATTATGGAGGAAGACCGAATTAGCAGAACACAAAGAGAAGAAATATAAAGTATTTAATGCTGATATTTGAGGACACAAAATGCCATACTATTAGGAAATGTCTCAGCCAAATACAAAAGCAGTACAGTGAGTGAATGTTAAACACCTATAGAGAAAGGCAAAAAATGCTGTGTGCGCTGGGGAAAGGGTAAGAATGGGCTTAAGCTGTAGGAAGAGAGGTTTAAGACAGGCACCAGGAAAAGCCTTCTCATAGTGAAGACTAGTTAGGTAACCTACGGAAGCTGAGGAGTCTTCACTGTTCGAAGGTTTTTTTAAAACTGGGTTAGAGGCAGCTAATCGGGTTAGGTACAACATGTTCTGCTTTTCGGATAGTGGGTATAATGGCACTTTCAAGAAAGCAGTGAGTATTTCATGGGGTAGGAATAGAAGAGACTAAGCAATTCCAAACTAGGAAACATAATACATAATACGCATAAGCCACTTACATTAAAATATCATTTTCATTTTTCTGTTAACTGAATGTGTTAAAAATATTTGTGAATTATAATAAACTATAATAAAAAAAGAAATAGTAAGTGGAAATTATATGCATTTTTTCAGTAATAGTTGAGTAACCTAGCCAATTTACCAAATTCTGTAAAGCTGTAACAAGACTTTGGCTGTTTAGATTAGAGCCAAGTGTTTTGTGGCATCCCCCCAATTGCACAAATAGATGATAGGTCTGAAGAAATGTTCTATGATATAACCAGCTGTTGGAATTTTGTCACAGAGAAGATTTTCTTTTTTCCCCTAGCTCCAACTCCAGCTTACAGTTTAGTTTATTTGTCAAGAACTAAATGATATTCTGACCAAAGACCTTTGGTATAAGCAGCTTGCAGTTAATTAACACTGAAAATTACAACTGCCATAAAATGAAAAAGAGATTACGATTTATAAAAATGCTATTAACACACAGAACTGGTCATAGAAAACTCATGCAAAACATCTTTTAACTTAAAACCAAAACTGATAATTCATTTTCACATTTACATATGACATGGTGATGCAGATAATCGTTCCTTTATGAAATGACCTTTCAAATTAAATGTACAATTTTCTTTTATGCAAGAAGCTGTACTGGAATCTCTGGAATTACTTGCATCTAAAGTTATGTTCCTATCTAAGTACTTACAGAATGATGACCACTGGAAGTTTACTCAAAGGAATGGCATTTATTACTGCTAAAAAGAATTTCAAATATCTGCTGTCTCTGTGTATTAAGCAGTTTCTCCTGAAATTGGGCAATGGCTTATTCTAAGCAAGAGGAAGCAGTAACGTATTGCTTTTTGCCTCAGAACTACATCCCTGTCGTTGTACTTCATTTTAAATTGAAAGTCAAGTAAGTCTTTAAAAACCTGTATTCACTGCTGTATTTTACGTTGAAATGCAAGTTTTAGCATGACTGCAATCCAAATTTCAAATAGTCACAAACTAAATTGCATTGAAAAAGGAAATTAAAATTCTTCCATCAAGTCAAAATTTAAAGAAATATCTCCTTTGAAATCTGAAGGACAATGACTAAAAAGGGGTATTTCAGGGGTGTCCCAGGGATTTTTTCCAAAGTTGGAAAAGGGACCCAGACACCTTTTAATTTTACAAATCTGTATCACTGATCTCAACATCCTCAAGTCCCAGACAGCTAAAGACACCAGAAGAACCTAAGCTCAGAGATTATAAATAAAGGTGAAAAAAGCATTAGGTATTTTGTTAAAAACAATCCTACCTGACAGCCAAGGCTGTTAGCTCTTATACCACAAAAAGTATGGATTTAAAGTGTTGTTTAAATTTAGAATGCCTCAGGAGTTATAAGAAAGAATAGATTTTATGAGGTATGTTTGGTGCTTTTAAAATCAGAGAGAAAGAAATAACTAATATTTCCTGTGGTAACTTGGAAAAGGATAAATAGTAGTAGATTATTGTATTTTAAATCTGCACTGCTTCTTAGAAATATGTTCCTTAACTTCTATAAACTCAGTTTAACTCAACTAGTTTTTTCATTCTTTTGTTCGTTTGTTCAAAATAGGAATATCTTATTATGGAAGCAGACTGCAAAATTAACCAGACCTGTTCTTTGCTTTTCAATGTTTAAAATCGCATTTTGTATGGGCTGACCCCAAATGATCCCCATGCTCATGTGCTAGCAATCCTTTTGGCCTCCATGCTTTCCCCACCATACCAAGGCATGTCTCCAATTGTTATTTGTGTTTGTGCTCAGTATATCATGTTAAAGGGAAAAATGCTTCCCTTACTCCCTAGCTATGACGCCTCATAATTCAACGATAGAGGGGTATGCCTGTGCCGCCCAATGACTACGCAGCGTACACTTTGCTGTGGTACCTGGAGTACACTCTGTGTGAATTTCTGGAATTGACACGATAAGTCTTCAGCAAGAACAGGCTAAACTGATCCCACTTTTCCCAAAGCAGAGCAGAGAGTGCATTAAGAACAGGAAGGAAAAACAGGTTCAGGAGGAAGCATGGGGCCAGGGAAATAAAGAGATAATGGAAAAGGGCAAGCAAGGCATTTGCTGTGGCCATCATTGGTCTGAAACAGAACATGGGTGGTTGTCAAATTTCTGGAAGAAACAGACAATGATACATGGTGGCTTTAATGGAAAGTCTACAAACTCTTGTGTTGCTTGCACTGGCTGTTTAACTTCTAATTCATGGCAGTTTAAGTCCTCTGATGGTGCAGGTTGGAACACCTCTGTTTCCATGCATCGTGGTTTAACCCCAGCTGACAATAATTCAAGTTCTATTTAGTAAGTGCCTGATAATTCACCGTACATCAACTGCTGCTGTGTGTGCTGTGCGTGCTCTTTGTTCTGAAGCATTTTGCTACCTGCTATGGGAACACAGTTAAGGTGAGAATGTGTCAGAATATGCCCAGTAACCCATCCCTTTAATTCAGCCAGTCAACGGAATGTAATGATAATGACCAAGTTAGTGCTTATGTCTCACATTCACTTTTCCTTCTCATCAATTAACTAAGTGCTTAATACTTACTATACATGAAGGGATGTTGTGTAACCTATATTATAACAGCACTAAAGTTATGGAGCTCATTATTCTGTATGTAACTACTGCATGCATTATGGCCTAACTTACCATCGCGGGTCACCTCTATCACATACAGTCCTTCTTCTGAACCAATTGCTATTCTATCTCGATCTAAACCAGGAAGGAAAAAAAAGGCCGTTAATTCAGCTATACTTAATCTTATCTTTAAAACAGACTGTTTGCTTTGAACAGCTAGGAAAATTTCTGGACAAACAGATTTTCACCAGCAAATCAATTTTGCTTAAGTTCATGCAGTCTGTCAAAAGCATGCTATATACCGTATTGCTAAAACAACCTGTTAAACAACTAAACTGTATTACTCTGAGTGGATGAAGAAATTTGAATATCAATAAAAGATTAGCATTTTTCCCCCATTATTAAATTCCTGTGAAGGAATTCAGCTGAGGAATTTATTTCAAGGTGTCAGTGCTCTCATTACAGAAGCCCATCTAAAAGCTCCAACAACTCTCTCACACTTATAAAAGTTAAAACAAACATACCTACAATAGCAGCAGCTAAACTTGCTTTAATAAGAGGCAGTGTGCTGTCATAGGCTTCTTGTGGAATATGCACAACCTGGTTTTTCAGTCTGTTTTTGTGCAGGATAGACTGCAACCCTTCTAGGATTCCAACCCACTTTCTCTTCTCATTCTCATTTTCCGTCAGGATCAATAGAGAACAAGACTTTGAAGGCAAACCTAAGAGAGAAGCTGTCACCTTTTAACAGACAGAGAAAGCGAAATTAATAAGAGTAATAGAAGTCCTTTTTGTCAGTATTATTTACTTTACAGAACTGTGAAAGTAAAATATACTTTTTCATAACAATGTGATGATGTACCTGAGTGGTATGCAACACAGCACAACAGCTGTTATGGTCACAGTGCTTTGAAAAAATGCACAGGCCTCAGTGTTTTTTTTTAAAAATACTCAGTCTTGCTTAATCATTCTGAATCCTAAAATATGGGCAAGGAACATTACATTCCTTTCCTACAATAATCAATATATGCCAGCAAAAGGCTCCTTCCTGCTCTGAAGTGGAATTTCAGTAGCATGCCACAATTTGTCCTGATGCCTCCCCCCACCATCTCTTAATAACTTATTGAAAATGACACACAGGCTTTCTGAGTCAGATGCATTTAAACCCAATGGCATTGCTATGATCAGTTCTAGATTTTGATTTTGCTACTTAGTTTTCAAAATATTTGTCCAGGGCGATGAGCACATCATATCTGCATTAAAAGCTCTGGAGGAAAACAATCTTTTGAGACCGAAGTACTGCATTCTCCCACTTCCCCAAGTTAAAAGAAAATCACAATGGCTTCACTTAATTTTCAGGGAAATCATCCTACAGATCTCAAAGGAGAATGTATTTTGAATAGAAAAATGATCCAGGAACTTTCTGTTAGCCAAAGTATCCACTTACTAATTCTTAATATTAGTTCTGTGTCCTGTCTGAAGAGATCGTAGGAATTGTGAGATCATGGGAACTACGCTTTCAGTCACAGACAAACAGGCCATCAGCCAGTATCAGCCCTCACAACAGACTTTTAGAATAACAACAGTTAAACAGAAGAAAGCAGCAAAAGGTGCAAAAGTGCAAAATTGAAGGCTATAACTATTCATACACAGAATAACACATCTTCAGCTTAGATGCCTTGGTAAGAAAATCACCATAAAGATGGGTGATGTGGTTATGCAGCATACACTTCCTAAAAGAGTGAATTAAGCAAAAATATTCGTCTTAAAAAAAAAAGAAAACAACAACCCACAACTGAAAGTAAACTTGGGACAATAGGATGCCAGAGAGAACTGCAGAAGTAAGATGAAAGTGAAGAGCCGTTGGAAAAGAACTGAATAGTTTGCAATTGCTCATAGCTCGTATTAGTCTGCATCAAGCTTTGTTCATGTCCTAAACTGTAACTAAGCATTAATATTTTAAAGATGGATGGAGGCATAATGGATAATATTTCTAAATTTGAAAACAAAACAAAACCAAACCAGACTTCAGCTATGGTTTTCTCTTTGAAGTACCACCATGTATTACTCCTCAGTCTTTTGAAGGTGGCATCTTACACGCAGTCAAACGCAGAAAAAACGGGAGAAGTTGGTCATAATATACCTAGCATTATTCATCATACAAAAATCCAGTATTTGCTATGCAACTCAAGGCTTCTTAACTCAAACTGCTAAGCTGTGGAAGGACTCCACTACAGACACTCTTACACTATTATTAAAAATGTATCGATGGCAGCACTTAGACTGCAGTGTCTGGATGCCAGGACAGCCTAACATCCAGCTTTAAAAACTGGTTACCAAGGAGAGATGTTTGAGTTTGAGACATGTTCTTCCTCTTCTTGATTTCATAGGGGGTCAGAGGTGGGAATATTTTCATGTTTGGCAGCATTCTGGTGTTGCTTTCTGTTGGTGGAAGATCCAAAAGAAATGAAAATCTGTCTTTGGTGGGCCCCCAATATCATCATGTGTTACGTGAAATAATACGTATGAAAGAAGGACCACATTTTTACACAGATGATGAAGAGTAACGCTTTAACTGTTGTGTAGAAGCCACTCTATGTCATTATGTTAGCAAGATGCAAATTTAGAATTAAATTAAATTGAGAAAATAGATTCTCTTGCATGAGATATCACTGGTGTGATATCTGAAAACTGTTCCAGTTTTAGGAACTCCTTCTGTTCAAGGAGGACATAAAACTGAGAAAAGAGGTGGACTTTGGCAGCATCTTCTCTGGTCCCTGTCAACAGAGTATCTAAATAGATATACTCACACACCAGGCTTCTAGTTAATTCATCAGATCTCTTTAGTAGGGATAATCTGATCAAACCGTGGAGACATTTTTTCATGTCTATCTACACAAGTATCCATACATGGGGATATTTGACAAAAGTTTTTTTTCTTAGATACCCTTGCAGTTAAAAACTGCAGGCAGAAATTAGAGCAGCAAGTCAAGCAGGCTAAACTCTATGAATGCCTTGTTGTTAAACGAATCAACCACCATTCTGCATAGCTCATTTTCTCTCCTCAGAAGCCCCTTCCCATAGTATTCCACATTTGCTAATTTGAGAAGAGAGCAAGCAGATGGGAATAAAAAAAAATACTTTTAGAAACAAGTAAGAGGAAAATGAAGGCAACAGTAGTAGTAAACTAAAGGATGAAAATCCACTGCAGAAAATATTTGTACAAAAAGGCAGAAAAGTAAAGCCACAGAAGCATTCAAGTAGCCAAGATATTTCTTAAGTAAAACCCTAAAGGACCAAATGACTGGGATTGCATGTGACTGTCAGCTCTTTGGCTTCCATGTTCCACTGATTTGATTCTAAATGACTGAGGATCACTGATGCTGAAAACAATGAGTTTCTGCATTCAAATGCAAGGGATTATAGATATTGGCTACTAACGTACTCTTCTCTATATTTTAAAATTCCAGATTAAATGTAATTCACATAACAACAGGAATTGCTTTCCTAGGTTTTAAAAACTAAATACAGCATTCAGATAGAACATACATCAAAGACGCTATTATAACTAAGCTAATTATTTTCTCTTATTTTAAATTTTTTGTACTATACTTGAATAGGAAATTAAGGAAACTAAATTTCAAATTTTTTTTTTTTTATATAAGACAATACATGGCAAACTAGACCGGTGAGCACAACCCAGCATCAGCCTACTCTGTTACAGCATCGGTTCCTAAAGTGAGAGTCCTCCAAAGCTAATAAAGAAAAACCGAAAAACCAGGATCTGGCAATACCAATGGAAGAGGAGACAAAAATATACTGAATTATAATCAAGAAAAAACAAAAAGCCAAACTTTATATACAAGGAAGCAGCAAAAGGAGAACTTTGTTCTTTACAATTCAGTTATAAGCAAAGTATCATATTGTTTTTCTACACATTTCAGCACCCCTCCTAAATTCTTATACTTCTGCATAACTTAATAAACATTAAATATGGTAATTCACTAACAAAACAAAACACTAGTATTTAACTTGTATTTTCTTTAAGAGTAAATTGGTAGCCATACCCTGAATATACAAGGGATGTCTTTACGAGTCGCATGTATTACATCTGATGCTAGAACAGAGCTCACGCAAAAATCTTCATCTCTAGTAAGAAAGAGAGCAAGAGAATCACATACATGCACACACTAACATTATTCAGCAAAATCTAACTGATATCACAACTGTTTCAATTGGCTGCAATCTCCTAACAGCACACAGAGGTCACAACTGCCATCACTGCTTTGTTATGCTCTAACCATCCTTGACCCAAACAACTCACAAGCTTTAGTTATGTTTCTACAGCATTCAGTACGTGTAACTCAGTCCACCTGAAGTTAAGTGGGGTGGGCTTGTGTAGTTTTGGTTTACCGACCACACCTATTCTACAATTAGCAGCAAGAATATTGCTCTTCCAGCTCAGCAGACACATTAGAAATGAATAATTCATACCTCAATGTGTAGCAAGAGAGGGGCCTTTGGAAAAAAAGAAAAATCACATAAAAAGCTCTTGGCAACATAATTATAGTTTGTGGGATTCAAATAAGGGTTTTCAAAACAGCTAGATTTTATTCGCTATTACAGTAAAATAAACAGACATCAGAACAACTTTTGCATTTCAGAGTGCTCCACCCCAGAGGGCTTGTCTACACAAGCCTTTTTAAACTGAATTAGACCAAGTTGATCACCATAATTGCCAATTTTAGTGTAAAGATGACACTAACGCCTGAAACTTGCCCATGCTAGAATTCATAGCTGTGGTGGTTAACATCTATTAAAACATTTAAGAATCCTCAGAAGACGGCCTCAAAGAGGCAGCTACAATAAGCAGATAAAGCATGGGACAGTTGGTATAATATTTGGCTGAGTTGCTTCAAGCAATGTACTGATATGAATGCTGTTGTTTGCAATACATCCACACTTCTGCTCCCGCTGCCAGCATGTCAGAGAGAGCTGACACTGACGGTTCTCAGAGAATAAATGTGAGAACAGAACAGCAGTACTGGTGCAACCCCATGGTACTGCTGTCTGGAAAAAAAAAAAATATCAAGGTACTTGTGAATGCAAACTGTATATTCAACAGAGATAGAAAGTGCTGTAACATTAAAAGGTATTACACTTTATTGATATTTCCACAAATTTAAATAAAAAAACCTTCTTTGTTACTCTGACCAATGAAAGTCTCAGATCTTTTGTAGACAGTGTTCAGTGGTTCAAATGGTTCACCACGAAAAAATGACTCCTGTGAGAAGACAGGGTCAGAGCCACTTGCATCATAAATTAGTTGGTGCTTTTCTGAAGACTATTTCAGTTTTTCTAATGTTCCTGAAATTACTGGCTATGGGATGATCTGTGACTCACTCTTGAGGTCAGAGTGCAGGGGAAAAACCAATATACCAAAGTCTATTTGTCTCCCATGTGTGCATATGGAATTCTAGGAAGAAACATGCTAATACTGTAAATATTAGTGATTGTAGTGTAAGTGACTATAAAGTCGCTTAAGCGACTTCTTGTTGAGCCAATTCGTTCAGCCTAAACTTAGCTGCAGTTCAGAACACACAGGTATTCTCAGACCAGAGCTCTCATGATCTAAAAGTTTCTTGTGTACTATAAATAAATATTCCTGTTAGGGAAAAAATACAGAGGATTTCTACTCTGTCATAATAATACAAACCTGAGATCCAAGACTTGACTCGCAACAACTCCAGGCTGGGTGGATTTTCCTTCAGGCACATCATATAAGAACAGTTTACAGTCACAGACAACCGCATAAGCCCTCTGCCACCCTTTCTTAACTCCAGTAGGCTTTGGGACCTGTGTATAAATAACTGATTGCTTATTAAATGTAAGCATATGTAGTAGACGCAGAAATCAGAGACATTTAGAAAAGCTTATACTTAGATCAACAACATCTTGTTCTACTTGCCCTTCAAAATGGAGTGAAAAAATGTCAAGTAATCAAGTAATCATTTTTTCTCCCTTAAGTTCAACGATTCCCTGTTACAATTTAATAAATATATTAGGTAGTATTAGGACAAACAATGGGGCTTGCATACTCCACAAATGCCAAAATGGTAGGACAATTTACCTTTTTTATTATGCTTACATCAACAATGACAGAAATTCTTCCTTAAAGCATGCTTCCTCCCCCCCGCTACTTATGAACGTTGTAGCTACTAATCTACTAACCTTCAGCTCTTGTAGTAAAACCAACCGTTTCTCCCACATCTAAAGCAACGAAGGTTAAATAAGTTACATAGATAGCACACAAAGCCTTAAGGCTTTAGCACAATTCAGGAGATCTGTTTAAACATACTTAGAGGTTCCAAGTTGCATAGCTGTAAGTGAAGTTTAGTATTCTTCTCTTGTCCAAGAACAAAAGACTATTACCTTGACATAACCTTTATAGGCGGTTCCTATTCCTCTTTGCACATCTACTCCAAGAGGCCTTTTGGCTTGCTCAGGGGGTATAGGGCAGACCTGAGGTGCGCTATCCTTGCAGGAAACATGGCATGCAAATGAACACACTAAGTACAAAAGAGAAAATCCACAGTGAAATGCGTGTATGAGTCAATCGTAACAGGAGATTAACGTAGTCTACCCTTACGTCTAGCAAATTAATTAATCACACTGAAATTGGCAGTCAAATATTACAGTAGGCCACTATGTTAAAGGCGTGAACACACCTAGATATTGTATGAGACTCTCCAAAGTGCATTTATTTTCTTTTTTAAGCCTATTGCTTCCATAAAGGGCAGGAACTGAGTCCACATTTCAAAGCAACTTATGAAAGCATTTTCCAGAAGGAAAAGAAGTTGGTCAGCCTCACTGGTATTAAGCAGCAACTAACCCAGTCACAGAAGAGAAAAAGTATTAATAAAGGAGGAATGAAAATTACGGGGCAGTGGTAGAAGACAAGATAAATATAGTAGGTGTTTAATTTGATCCAAGTATGCAAGAATACTGCAAAGACAAAGTAAAACTAAACTGACCAAAAAATAGAATGGGTTAAACTATTAAACGCAGGCAATGGACTTGAAAGCATAATAAAGTAGAAACCCAGGGACAAGGACTGAAAAGCTGTGTGGTGAAAGGGGCATATGTATATATCTCAGAGTTCAAATAAGGAGCAAACATGTACACTAATCATTGCATCCTTTCTTACCATTTACACCACTTTGTACCACTTTGTGCTGCACCAGCAAGGGACAGAGGTCTCTTGCCTATGGAGCACCTCACACAGAAGCACTACACAGAAAAAACTCAGAATATATGCCACTTCACATGAGACAGACTACAAGAACTGCGGAATGAATCAACATATTATATCAAGCCATCCAACCCACAGTTTATGGGCCAAATCCTTCCACAGAGATTTTGCCTGGTTTGTCCCAGAAGGCTTGGGAAGGCAGCAGAGAGCAACATGGCACTATGATCTATCCTGTGCTTCTTCCTAACCATATTCTCAGAAGGGCATATGGCAGATACCTTGTGCACATCTAGTCCTGTAATTACGAAGGGTCAAAGGATTCCAGAAAACTTGGGAACAGCCTGCTTCTGCTAGAGCCACAGACTGGGCTACAAGCCTCCTCCTCACAATGCCCGAGGGAACAGCCAGGAGAGAGGGCAGCCCCGAGCAGGCTGCCTGGCTCATTCTTTGAGCTACAGTCTGTTCCCAGGAGGACAGGGGCTACCAAAGAGTCATGCATGCAAAGTACTGTAGGTGCCCCCCAAGACCAGATAATAAATTCATCTCTTTCAGGAGGCATCAATTATTTGGACTGCACGTATCAAGGCACACCGGTTGCAGAACAGGGAAAATCCACAGGATGTAGCCAGTTCCACAGGCCTCTGGAAGTGCAGCTGTATTTTACCGTAGTCTCCAGCATTAAAAAGAGGAGGAATTGGGAAAAGCAAGTGATTGCGAGTGTAACATGACAAAGTTTTGTTCTGCTGGAGTCATCTCTATTCTTACGTAATGTGATTCTAGTTTTTCCTGTAGCTATCAAGATCTGGAGTAGAAGAGGCAAACTGGAAAACTAATGATGCAGAGCTTAACCAAAATACACAAGAGAAAAAAAGAGAGCGAAGTTGATAGCTACACTAAGGGAAAAAGACCCTTTCAGACTTGCAGGAAGAGATGCGAAGCAAGAGTTCAGAACTGTCAGCAACAGGAGACAAAAGGCAGCCCCAGGGCAAGTGCTGGCAGAGCAATAGGTGCTCTCAGGGAAGAACAGCCAATGAAGACCTGCCAGGAAAAAAGCCCTGCAGGGCAGATGAGGCAATCTGAGTATGATGCTGAAGGTGTCTGTGGAGAGGGTGCCACTAGCAAGAACTAAGCTGGGCACAGATATACAATAAGGTTATTTATACTATAGTGTCTTCAACTGATTTGTGGACTACTTACTGATTTCGTGTGTCTAATCAAGATACAGATAAATATTTTCAAAGAAAAATACCTCCATATACTGAAACGTGGAACTCAATAGCGATACATGCATCAGGGAAAGCATTTTAAATAAAACTAATGGACAGCAAAGCAGGCTACAGGCCAAAAACCCTAGCAAATGGTCTTCCCAACATACGGGGTTTATGATCAGGATCGCACAAAATAGACAGACTCAGATTCATGTTATCAGAGCATTCCCATAGCCTTTTTTGCTCCACTACACAAACAGAAAACACTCCTGCCTCCCCAGCACCTCAACTCACACTATAACAGCACTAATAGTAGCAGAACTCATTAGTAGCATCAAAGGGAACCATGAGCGCTTATATTAATTCTTTGACTTTAGAAGTATGATCATGCAAAAGTAAGAAAAGAACCACTCAGTGGTAGCCACCCCTCTCTTTCACTCCCTCCCCAAAGAAATGCTTGCCTTAAAATACATTAGTGTTTTGGGATGATTATTTCAGGGTCTTGCTGAAAATATAGAAAGTTTAACTGACTCACCGTCACAGGCATAACCTTGTCGAACTAATCCCACCATAAGAGAGGTGCAATGACTACACTGGGTAGGGCTTGTAAATGACTTGATATTGAGCTGGTGAGCTTTTGGCTGAAAGATACATTCAGGATAAAAAATAACAATTTTTCACTTTCTGTACTCATGTAATGCAAGCATCTCCCTTCACCACCCTCCAGGATATCACAGTGTACATTATGAAACCTGGGCTTCTTTCAAACAAGTGCAGCTTGTAAAAGGTGCTGCAAGACAACGGTAGCATTTTTATTTCCAACTGCAGAAGACACTCAAACCCAAACCTACCAAGAAATATTTTACCTGTCATCCCTTCTGACAAATCAAAACCCATCAATTTGCATTTGGAAGCATTTGATTAAAAACGCAGACCTAACAAACAAACAACACATGACAAACCCAAACAGGACAAGAACAAACACGGAGGGCTAATTTATAAATTATATTTTTTCCTTTGTTCTTTAGAATAAGGTTAGCACAGTCCCCCTACCTTTGGTACAGCTAGAGAAATGGATTGAATGGTGGGGGAAGGAGCAGCAGGCATCCTCTGAAGCCGAATTGGTTCCTGAATCACAAAAAACTGTAATTGAGCAAAATGAGGCTTCAAGGATTTGTTTTAAGATCGGGGTGGCAAAGCTTATTGTTTTCTGATTTTTTTTTTTTCTTTTTTGAAAATTATCAGAAATTTAATCTTTGTAAACATTGCCGTTCTGATTTAGTAGAAACAGATTGTGTTTCAAAGCACTCACAGGAAAGCCTGCACACTAACAAACAAGCAGCAATACAGAAAACATATGAAAATGAGGTACACCAACATACACAGAGCCAGTGAAAAGGTTTCATTCGCAACTGTCCTCAAAGCAGGTGCAATTCACACTGACACATTGCAAATAAGCAACACTCAATCCTGCTTCTTCATAATGAATGCTGCAATATGTATTTATCATGAACAAGACAGAGAGACTTTCTAGTGAATTGCTCTTCAGGGTAAAATAACAGCTCTCTTACTTCTTGTTGTTGCTCTGCAGTTACAACTGAAGTAGATGGTGAAACTTCTGACTTGGGACCCTGTGTTTCCTGCTCACTAATAGAACCGGTCTGCAAAAGTGACAGCAAACACATTAGATTAGATACCACAGATCTGATGAAGTGTTCTCATGTCAACAAAATGGAAACACAAAACAATGCTCATTTCTATATGCAGTACACATACATCTAGCAACTTACCACTCTGAAAAAAATCTTTCCTCAAAACAAACCCTGCCACCTGATGGAAAAGCTGTAAAGCTGGAAGTACTGAAATGCAAAACCTCATAGTAGGCACCATAAATGCTGTTAACAGCCGCCTTCTCCCAGCAAGGCTGCATCTAATCTCTTGCATGCAGGTATGGAATGGTGTTTGAGAAGCTTGGCGATCATCCATAAAATAGCTTATTTCTCATGGTAGCTTACTACACCAGGATTTTTCCAGCGCACAGTAACCAGCAATTCTGCCATAAGAAAAATTCTTAAAGTAGTACTACACAATCTTTTTAAAAGTTGTTTAAAAATGGTCGGCCTCTGTCTTTAAACGAATCATGTCCACTTAATCACATTGTCTTATATTTCTCTAAAATTTAAGACTAGCATCCATTACAAGCCTTCTATTAATTTCACACTTACATTAACAACTACTAATTGCCAGCACAAGGGGGAAGTATGCTACAATTCCAGAGCTAAAGAAGCTGGGTGTGGAAGTAGGATACTGTATAACTGTACTCTGAGGACATCATGAAAACCATGATTAACAAACATCAGATTAGACTTCATATCAATGATGTAATTAGCACTAAAGGCAACAAGTAATGAATCACTCACTTCCCAGCCAGTTTAGACAGAGATGGCTCATGTTCAGTTAGCTCACTCACTAACAAGTATGTTCAAATATTTGTTATTTGTTATGAATTGATTGGTAGGGCTGGGCCATTTAAGATCAAATTGTACTATTATGTAATATGAACTATTTAAAAATGCTAAGTGTGATTCAGCATTAGCCATATAGATAGTCAAAATATAAAATAGTAAGCCTGTAAAGAAGTATTAAAAGAAAACTAACCTAGCTCTATCTAGCGGATTAAGTTATAGAGAAGTTAAGGAAGCAAAATAACTAGTTTTAGAAGGCCATTTTTACTATGACAGGTCACAACAAAATAAGGAGACAAAACTACTAGCAAAAACTTACTTCTTCCCAAAAGGCTAGCAGAGAAGATGTAGATGAAGAAGAAACAGAATCCTTTGTTGTTACGGATATGAGGGATAAAAACGATCACTTATCACCCACAGGAAAACTTCAGATAGAATATTAATAGGCTAGCTAAATAAAATGTTTTTTATGGCCAAATTATATTTATTCAAATTAACCCAGAGCAGATGACACGGACTATCTTTGTAAGTACACATGAAAAAAAATTGTTAATGGAAGTCATTAAGTACAGTATCAGCAATTTTAATGTAATTCATCAGAAAATGCCACCTGCATTTCCATGATGACTACATATGTATTGCAGGATCTGTAGAATGGAATCTTGATTAGTTACGGGCTTGATATTTTACATGTTACTGTTTTAAGTATATCTGGTTCTTTTTAAAGCTTTGTTTTAAAATATCAAGGTCAGTAGATAAAAATTATTATTCAGATAGTAGCATATATCATGTTTCTCTCTCTTCCCTCCACCTCATCCATATAGCACATGTTGCTGCTTCAGCAAGAAAGCAAGCATGGACATTTTGTGACTGGGAACAGCACATACACAAAGTGTATCACAATACCACAGCATGTCCATATGCTTTCTTTTTAGTGACAGTGACAATTGGGGGGGGGGGGGGGGGGGGGAGAGGGGCAATATATAGAGTGGGGGGGGGGGGGGGGGAATAGAGAGAGTACATATTTCAGATATAAAAATCTAACCAGACCGATGAGGTTTTAACTTGAGTCCCTTTAACTCAGCTCCATAAACATAACAGATTATTCTTTCCAGTTCCAGCTCTTGGTTTTATCCTAAACTGTCTATGTGTTTTGCAAAAAAACATCCCAGAAAATCTTCACGGATCAAAAGTTCATGAGGTAAGGAAATGTGATTCAATGTTGCATTTAACAGCTGCTTCCTCAGGGAATGCACAAACCTTTTTAACTGAAACGCCCAGTTGGAGCTGTGATTTGTATGATTAGTTTTCTAAGGATCAGAGGGTGTGTCATGATAAACTTATTATACCAACATCTGTGGGTCCTCTAATTCTCTTCCCAGTTCCTTCTACTCTAACCACTCCATTAAGATCTGGAGCCAACAATTTTACATATCTGTTTAAATACTCCTTGAACTGTGTGAATACTTTTCCTCGTACTAATCAGCATCTTCCAGCTGCAAAGCATTTAATCCCTTATTCGTAACAGGGTGTGCCAGCCTTTCCAAAAAACCCTGAATTTATATTTTTCAGCCTAATTTTGAGATTAACCTAAACAAATAAGCTAGAATAGGAAATAATTACTGTGAACTTTGGGAATATTTCCCAAAGGTGCCAGCTTCCCCGCAAAATGGCAGGCAATCTGACATTTACTGGACATCCAATTCTGCGTCACACTAATTTGGCTAATATGCCAGATCCAAACATGCCATATAGTGCCCAAGAATTACTTTTATGTAATAAAAATATAATTCAGCTATTCCATTTTTATAGTTATTTTACGTAATAACTCACTCTGAAAGTCAGATCACGTGCAAGAGGAGAGGTGTTGAAATATTCAAAAATGGAATCTTGAAAGTCTGGAAGTTTGAGACCTAAAAGCCAAAGCAGAACAGGCTTAGCTAAAAGGCAACATTACAGGTGGTGTTAGAACTCTGTTAAAACACAGTAACTTTAATTACCTGAATCTGTTCTGTATTTTTCTTCCAGTTTTTTCTTCAAACCTTCCATCTCTTCCAACAGTTCCCTATTTTTTGCTTCCGATTCCTTTAATTTACTAAAGGAACACAATACAATCAAAATGCAATCTGAAATATCTCAAAGGCAGGAATACTAGTGCACATGGTTGTTAATTTCTGGTCCTACACTTCAGAGTTTTGGAAAATGCCTTTTTTTTTTTTTTTTGAGAAGTGGTGGTGTTTTTTTATTTTTTTTTTCCCCTGAATAGGCACCTCACTACTTGCCGAGACAGTGAAAACTGTACTTGTGACTCCTGCTATCACTGCAGATATCTGCCAAACAAAATTATTCTAATAGTAGTTTGGCTTTTAATTCCCAAGAATATGTCTACTCTCCAGTTAGTCTTAGAAAAGGTATTGAATTTGTTTTGAATTTGCTCTTATGCTTTTTTTTTCCCCTCAGGTGCCCGAGATCCGTATCTTATTACCAAGCTATTCACAGCAGTGAAATGTTTACTTGAAGAAATTTTTACAGTTCTCATTTGACTATGTAAGAAATGTGTAGTCTGTGGAATGGGATCCTTCTGGCAAAGTCCAATATCCCAGGCACAAGGGGCCATTTTAAGAAAGTTACTATTCTAACCAGCAGTTTAGAGCAGCGCATTAAACCCCAAACAGAACCAAAGCCCTTATTACCTTTCAAAAGATATGTTTGCATCTTTAACTTTTCGTAGCTCTTCTTGAACTAGTTGTTTGGCACGAATTTCTGCATCAAGGGCAGACTGTAATTCCAGCCTAGCTGACATATCCAACTTCTGACTGCGTCGCACTTTCCAAAGTGGATCCTGTTGCAGTAAGTTACTGAATATTAATATCAACTGTCTAAAGATACTTCTATTCTTGTTCAAAGACATAAAATAGCTTTCACACTAGTTCAGAGAATGCTCTTCTAATTAGTTATGGACGGTATACCCGCTACATGGAAATCAGTCGATAGTCAGACTTTGTTAGACAAAAATGAAGTAATGAGCAATTTTTATAATGGTTAAACCACTAACATAATATGCTTGAAACCAAAATGCTGGATCACTGAGCATGGAAGTCAAACTGAGAGAACCCATTGAAAATGGCTAGCTTTCATTGTCCGATCTAGAAAAGAGTATAAAACTTGCACAGTGACATACTGGACTTTCAAACATGAGAAAAATGTAAATATTTAATGTAACACATACTAATCTAAAACATACCAAGAGTAGCAAAAACACGAAAAAATGAATTTTTTTTGAGATACCCAAGATACCTGTTTCCTAAACAGGTCTTACACTTGCTAAGCAGCATACACTATACTTCTGCATATACCATGCAATTCTGCCCTACTACCCCCCCCAAAAGCTAATTTCCCAAGCTCTTCCAAGCATTTTTCACTGTGGACTACATTATCCATTCCCTAATGGATACCTCTCTAGTCACACGTGAACTTGCAAGTAACAGTCATGAAAATGAGAGGCATTTTTTTAAGTTGCGAAATAATTGCCTTAGATCAGGTTCTGCTGAAGTTACAAAACCAGTTGTAATATAAAGAACAGACAGTGTTCTTTATTCTGGCAGTAGCTAAGAAGAAAATGCCAACTGCATTTGATCTGATCTTTCTTCCTAATAAACCTCTCAATATTATAATCGACTCTTGATGATGTAGGCAAATATTAGCTCACAGGAAGTCATAACTTTCCCTTATTTTCTCCTATTCATAGGTTTGGAAGGGCTGAGTAACTTCTTATCTGTATAAACCAGCAGCAGACAGACTCCTTGCATGGCAGACTGTGCTGACTGGCATTGCTAGGGATGTGGGCTTCCATGCCTAGCTGCAAGTGGCTCTCCCTTTCCTTATGCAGGTATTTAGTACCTGCCAAGGCAAGACAGTGTTTTTGTCCTTGAAACTGTACTCCTTCATGAGGGCTCTTCTATTTTGCAGATTTTTTTGGGGAATTCATGTTACTACTGTACGGGAAAATTACGGTATAACGTCTCATTGTTCTGCATGTAAATAAAGCTACACGCTCTCAGCGTGTCCCTAGTTTGTAACAATACCAACCAGCTAATGCTTGTTCACAAACGAAAACTTACTTTATTATCTCACCGTAAAAGCAATTAAAATTACTCACTTGCATCTAACATGGTCAGGTACATTCCTGTACTCCCCTTTAATGGTTTAAGTTATTGTTTCTTCTCTCCTCTGTACCATTTAAAGCAGTTTGTGATGGCAGATATTAGTAAGAAACACCCCCCCCGCTCTAACTATCAGATTCTGATCAGATGACTCAAATGGATTTCACAAGCAATAGCTAAAATCTAGAAAATCATTAGCAGAGAACAGTATTTATTAGAAAAGAATTCTGATTATGAATAGATATTGATAAGACAGGAGCTGAAACTAAAGAAGCAGCTTCTAAGACATCCCCAGAACAGCCTAAATGCTTGCTATTTTCTTACCAGTGTTCGTGACCCCAGACTGGAACTTCTCAATGATTCTAGTTCTTCTGTCATCTTGGAAGCTAATGCTTGGAGATAGCCACGAGCATCCTTCTCATCACTTACCCTATTGTGCAATTACAAAAAACTGTTACTTAATAGTTTCATGGCTCATAGCACCAAATACTGTACCACCAAATAATCAGAGTCTCTGCCCTGGATTTAGGGACACAGCAGGGAAAACTCTCCCAGCAAAGAAAACTGAATATACCTTAGATTGCTTGCTTTAGATTTTTCTTTTATCTGATTCTTTTGATTGTGGCAGTTGCTAGGGAAACTGAAGTTTCCCTTCTACCATCAGCAAGAGTTCTGCAGAGATTCACTGTTATTGTTTGGAACATGATCTGCATATTGCTTGCTCAGTTTTCATAAGGGCTACCTTCAAGTCCTTCTTGTCTTGCATAGGACAAGAAAATACTTCCACACAGCTTGCTAAAACAGCAAATAAGAGGGAAAAACTGACCTGTGAATTAAGCACAAGTGCTTGTCTCGTACAGCTAGTGAGGTTCTATGTGTTAACGTGGACCTTTTAAATCGTGACCATCTTCCTGAATGAATTTATCAAAATATTCCATATTAAGTGATTTAATGATCGCTTTAGAGACTGAAGCAAATTGACACCAAAACCCTCTCTTTTATACTTAATAGAATCTGACAATTTCACTTGTCATTACTACGCAGCAATAGTAGAAAGCAGAAGAGAAACAGTTAATCAACACTCAGAAATACCATGCTTTTGTGGATCCCAGACACAGAGAAAGGACCTAGCTATACATTTAAAAAAAAAAAAAAGCCAATCAATATTTCAGAACTTGAAAGTGGCCATCTGGATCTCTAAACAGCACATACCATTGAATAATTTCTGCAATCTGAGCTTCCCAGTGAGCAACAGACTCCTTCTTTGCTGCTAGGTCTTGGAGCTCATCTTCTAGCTGCCTGTTCTGTGCTGTTAATTTGTCCACAAAGGAGCAAAGCTGAAACAAAAGATTAATTTCACCCATGGCTTATGTCAGTTTCAGACTTTTTACATATGCATGTGTCTACACACCTATAGCATCTGAACAAACAAGACCACCCTGGGCTATCTGGAAGTTCTAACACAGACCAAAGAACTGGAAGGGGTTCTTTTTTTGTGGAACTGGAGACTAGCTCCTGAGCATAGAACAACACATTGCCAGTTCACACAAAACAATCCAAAACAAAGGAAAAGAAAAAGTGAGTGTAGAGGCCATCAAGAGGAATGGGGCTTAACTGTAAGCCATCAGGAAGGCAAGCAGTCTTTGTAAATGCGGCCTTCATGGAGAAATCAGAAGGTGGCGGTGCCCTCTGAGTTGCGGGAATCAATCCCACAAAGAGCAGTACTGAGATGCTAAAGTTACTATTTATCTCTTGACATTTATATGGCAAAAACTACATTTGTTTTATTCAGGTATTGCCTGAACATTTACAGATCTGTTCTGATCAATGAGTAGACTACTTCAACATCAGAAAGTAACAAAGTAAGAATTGTATTTTGCTTAAAAATGTTTCCTAAAATAATTACCCTCTCATTTTCTGTTGTTAGCTTTTTGTTATCTTCCACGAGCATACATCTTTCACGCTCATATTTCTCTTTCATTGTTCCTACTGCTTCCTCCATTTCACTGTGCCTAAGGAGAAGGACAAGAAATAGAAACACTTATACTGTAACACTGCCGAACCTGTAGGCTGGGATTTTCAAAAAGGAATAAACAGAGTTAAAGTGATATACCATCCTGCACAGGTACCTATGCAATACAATACAGAAAAAAAAGAAATCCATAGTTAATGAATCATGCCCGAAAGCTTACCTCTCTCGCTTTGTTTTCTCTAATTTATCCTTTAATATCATGATCTCTTTCTGCAGTGCAAGCTGATGGCTCTCTGAATCATGTACTTCCTTTTTCACGTTTTTTACTTCCAAAACGTGAGATGCTTCTCGTCGGACCAACTCCTCTTCATAAAATAAGATTTTCTTTTCCAGCTCAGACTTAATTTTGGAAAGCTCCTGCTGATGCTCTAGTGTGGCACCTGCTGTCCGGCCTCCCTGCTTCAGCTGCAGAAGAGAAGAAACCATCAGGAAGAGACTATCATCTTTGTATTTTTGGAACATTATTTAAACTTAGAATTGCCAAATTGGTTGCACTTCGGAAAAATTTTTATCTGGGCACTGAGTGATTTAAAAGGTGCCTGTCTCCAAATACTAAGCCCCATAAGTGACTGCTCTGACTGTACATGACTGTAATAAGGGGTTCAAATGTGTTGCAGAGATAACAAATTTGGATCACATTGGTTTAGTATCTCCTTAGAATTCATAAACTGGACATTTTCAAGGCAATAGTGTCCAATGAGATATTAAAGTACTTCAAACAAAAAAAAACCTAAATAAATCTGAACAGGTTAGGTCAGGCTTCTAGTAATGCTGTAGTTTTTGTCTCCCAGAGGTATCAACAGTTGAGTAAGCAAAACTACTGCAGCTCTTGTGTCATGAGTAAGAATTTGTCAAAAAACATGTAACCTTTAGAGCTTCCAGTTCATTTTCCAGTTGCTTGGAGAAGACCTCACTGTGCTCACGAAGCTTGCGTTCTTTTGATGCTTCTGCTACAACTTCTTCAAGTTGGGCTTCCAGCTGCAACGAGAGTAATTTTAAGTTATTTCAACACAAGATAGTGCTATCTGTATCATTCATTTCCTTTCCTCCATATGGATGAGCAGCAAGTTTTTCCTTATTTCCATTTTAAGTTACACCCTATAACAATCATCTCAGAATGTTGTGATAATTTTTTTGCCTTCATTGATCCAGGCATCCATCTGTCTCATGCAGTAGAATTATTACTATATGACTTTTTGTACTGATATGAACTACACCAAATATGCGCAGGGATAACTGCACAGCTTCTATTAATGCTAAGAGAAGGAAATGACACTAGGAAGTCACTGCAGCTGTGAAAGAAGAAAGTCTCCCACATTTACAGGTCAGCTCCATGCCTCAGTATCTACTAAGGCAGCTTAAAAAAATCCCAACCTTTGAGCCAAATTATTGCAAAATACTTCAAATACGAACACTGAACACTTTTACTTTGCAATTATAAAACAAAATAAGCTTGATCATCCATTTATTGACTTCAGAAATCTTATCAGAAAGACAATTTAGTGGCAGCTAAGACAACTGTTGCAATTCAAGCAGAAATGGCACAGCTTTAAAACCTGACAGGAAGAGTAAGATTTGTTTTTCTGCATTCAAAAGTTGTTTTTAAAAGGATTGTATTTAGAATTGTGGGCCAAGTTAATGAACTTACAGTCTATGTTCTGAATAGAAGATTGATACAGCTGTTAGGAAAGGGAGAACAGAGGAATTTGTAAGAACAAAGACAGGAGATTATAATGCCCTGCATGGAAGTATTTAACTGAATAAGCAACAACACTTGAATGCCTGCTGCACTCTGCTCTATAGACGAGGTGCCACAGCCCTATGCATCAAATATGGTGCCACAGACACCTTTGCCTTTCCCAGTTAACTACCACTTCTTATTCATGGATAAAAGTCTGAGAAACTTCATCTCTTATTACATTTTCATAGACTGCCCTTCAATTTGTTAGAAGTTTTCTAGCAATGTTTATAAAGCTCTTGAATTTCTCTTCTACACTTCACCCAGAGAAAACATAAAATCTGATGATTTTTCAGTGATTAAAACACTCCAGGTTAACCACAATAGCTGTTTCTTATGCCCTCTTCTGGTTATCCACTTCATCTTATGTAAAACTATAAATTGCCTAGAATACTAATTGGAAATTAACTTGCTTAAAGATATTACAGACATTCTCTACAATGACTAACTACAGAGGAAGGAAAACCACCTATTTAGTCTGTATCACTATTCCTCCCTCCAGCTGAAGAGAAAAAATTCAGCTGAAAAAAAAACGAAGTCAGAATACTCCAACCTTAAAGCACATGAAGATATTAAGCTCTCTAGGTTTCAAGCTGACTTATAAGTCAGAGTCTACAACAATCAAAACACAAGAACTAAGAAGCTGGGCATAGAGGAAGAATAGTTTCCTCCAGATTAAAATCAGCCCAAGTACAAACAAAAAGATGACTCGGTTCTTTCCTGATACATCAGTAAAACATTTAGTAACAAAATCAAGATCTATTTTGTGATCTGTAGCGAAGTTATATGGAAAAGTTACCAGGGTAATTTCTTATAGACAAAGTAAGTTACCGTTAACAGTGCCAATTTTTCAATACAATCACATATGAGATACTGGATAAGCAGCAACTGAAACATGTTATTGTTAGCTGTTTTATCAAGCTACCTCCTTTCTGATCTTCTCCGATTTACGGATGTCCTGTCGCATAGCATCAATTTTCTGCATGCTCACTTCCACCTCTTCTTCTTTGTCGCGAAGTTGACGAGACAGCTTCTGCTTTTGGGACCGCAAGTCTCCCATCCTCTCACTGAGCTCGGAGAACTCCTGCACAGCTAGCTTTCTTTGCTGGTGGGCATCCCTTAATTCTTTGGATTGCGTCTTTAACCTCTCTGAGGCTTCTACAAGTTGCTGGTTTAAATAAAAAAAAGTAGTAATAAAAAAGTCATTTGAACTCCATATATTCTTTCCAAGAAGAAAGGAAGTGGACCTACATAAGCATGACTTGAAAGCTCAACCTACTCACATAACTTTTAAATATTATTTATAAGACTTAATTTACCCAAAGTTTTTTTTTTCTGGGTAAGCAGCTGCAGTAACATACCAAGACAGCAGTTATTCTGCTTCTAGTCTGGCAGCTCCAAGAGTACCTTTGCTGTTCCAGAAGTCTTTCTTATAAATCTGACTACACAAGGCCACCTCACTTCCAAATAACTTAATTTCAGATTACCACCATGTACCTGCACAATAGTAATCTTTTTTTAAAGGAAAGTTTTAGCAGACAGCACATTCAGGAGAGCCATCAAATGCACTGTACCAGCACTGAAACGCTGCAGCAAATCTTGTGAAATTCTTCAGAAAACTGAGGAAGATTCCTTAGAACAAACTGTGAAGCGCTAATACTTTAACTGAAAGTGTAAAAGCTGTTTCCTTTACAGTAAGTAGTTAAGAAAAATTAACAAGATTAAAATACAAATTGAATGTTCTACATAAAATCATGGGGGGGGG